GCATGCTTCCCACAGCAGAAAATGTCACCTGAGACACGTAGTAAATTGCATCTCTTTGAACTTTCCCAGAGTCAGCACTTCCACTTTTGAGTAAATTATACATTCCAGCACGCAGCGGTCCTTCTGGCAGCTGAGAGCAGAACCCAGACAACGACAGTCGAAAGGTGTTGGAGAGGGGCGCCTGGGTGGCTCAGTCGGTGAAGCATCTGCCTTCAGCTCAGGTCATGATCCCGGGGTCCTGGGATTGAGTTCCTGCTCAGTGGGGAGTCTGCTTCTCCCTCTGCCCTCTGCCCCCATCACTCATGCTCTTTCTTTCTCTCTCTCTCAAAGAAATAAAATCTTAAAAGAAGAAAGGAAGGAAGGAAGGCAGGCAGGCATTAAGAAAACCGTAGAAACACCATGGACACGAGGGACTAAAATTCCAGAGAGGTGAGGACTGCTAGAAATGACAACGACAATGGCAGTTGGCAGCTCTTTTCTGCCGGGAGCATTTGCTAGGCCTGGCTGCTGACGGGCGCTGCTGGGGGAGGAGAGAAGCCCCCAGAGCAAGCAGCAGTGGAGGCCAGAGGGGCTTCAGACCACGGCTGGCTTCCCCACAAGACAGTGGCCGAACGGCAGGTGCACGCCGGTCCAAAGGGACAGGCTGAATGTTTCTGAAAGGTCGAGTAAAATTTCCCTCATATTTACAGTGCTTAGAAAGCGAAGACCTTGCCAAGGGGTCTGGAAAAGAACAGCAAAGGCATGAAAGCCCCAGAGAGAGTGGGGAACCGACGCTGGGCCTCTCTCTGCCCCCTCCCCTGGGGAGGGCACTCGCCAATGTGGGAGGAGCTGAAGGCTGAAAACCCATGCTTGGCCCTTGGGAAAATACAGATCAACAGGGATTTTGGAGCTTGAGTGACAGAATTGGGGATGAGCGGCCCCAGACACATGGGCAGTTTCTCCTTCGAAGGTTTGCCGAATTTGGAGGTTAAAATTTGGGAGGCTACAGAGCAAAGCTGAGGAGCTCTGACGGACAGAACGGAATCTCCTAAAGTCTTCCGGGGAAGAGGAGATAAAGACCTGCCAGGCTCCCAACTGAAAGCCCTCATGGGCCTGCTCTAAAAACAGAGGTGAGGCAGAGGCCCAGTGAGCCTCACCAGAACGGAAACCGGGCCCTGACCCAGCTCCGTCCCCGAGCGAAATAGGGATTTCCTATATTCCCTACTTCCCTGCGGACAAAAGGGGGAAACTTTCTTTTATAGGCAATAATGTTACGTGGAATCCTAACAAGTTCTTTCATACCCATTTCCCACTGTACAGTGAAAAAGGACTGGACCCCCAGAAAGGCAAGACCATATGGGTAGAATCAAGAGAAGCAAAACCCAGATTAGTAGGAGCAGGTTCCAAAATAATCCAGACAATAGAGTCAGCATCAAGGATTTCTGAAGAACTATGATTAATTAATAGAGTCAAGGAAATAGAGGGAAAAATGGACAAAGTAGGTGACAGGAAGGAGGATATCCCCCCAAGACTTCAAATTTTTTTTTTTTTTTTAAGAATCAAATGGACATTCTAGAACTAAAAAAATGCAAAGTCTAAAATTAAGAGTTCAATGACTCGGTTTAGCAGCAGATGGGATATATCAGTAGCCAGGATTAGTGTGCTGGAGGACAGACCGATAGAACATAACCAGATCAAAACAGAACCAAGAATCAGGGTGAAAAACTGGTAAGAACATAAACCATGTTGGATGCACTCAGGAGGTCTAGCATTTGAGTACTTGGAGTCCCAGAGGAGAGGCGAGAAGACGGAGCAGAAGCAATATTCGTAGAATGGTTGAGAATTTTCCAAAAAAAAGAAAATCCAGTCTACAGATTTGAGAAGCTGAATGAACCCCCAAACAGGATACAGATTTAGCTCTTGAAACCAGTTCATCATTGCTTTGTAAGTAGTACGTACATTATTTTCCTTTTAACCACTTATTAGTTGTGTGACCTTGAACATGTCATTTGACTTTGTTGAGCCTTAGTTTTCCCATCTGTAAAAATGGGGATGAGATAGAAGACTGTATGAAAAAGTGCCCTAGGAGGTATTCATTGCAAAGAAATACCAGGGGCCCTCGCCTTTATTATTCCAGCCTGACTGACCCCAGGACAGCGTGTTTGGGGCGGGCTTCAGAGTTGTGTCCTATACTCTGCGCCATCTCTGTCCTCTGCCTTTCAAGAGGGCTTTGGGGAGGGGATGTGGAGGCTGACCTAGAGGCACAGGAGCACAAAGATCTAGAATGAATCCAGGTTTCTGAATGAGTCTGGTGATTGCTTTGCCCTCCCAGGATTCTGGTAATTCGGAGCTGACCGGGGTTGGCTTTCTGGGATCGCGTGATCTACTCTGATCCAGCGCCCCGCCACACGCCTGCCTTAGGCCTGCTTTGATTCCACCGTTTCAGTCCCGCCTGGGAGCTGAGCCAGACCCCAGCCAACCTCCGTGGTCCCTGAAGCATTCCTTTACGCTTGCCCCTGGTTTAGGTCACATTTTCCACGCCCCACTCCCCCCGCCCCTCTCTCTGATAGTGTCAGGTGACTCGGGCAGAGCTCTGGACCCGCCCTGCTTGCATCCAGTTATCTGAAAAATGCTTGATCACATGTCTTCACTCACGTGGACTTTGGTCTTCCAGGAGTTATCACGGTCAGAGGGAAAGAACCCGGAGTGCAGTGGAGGCGTCGGGAACTCTCCCGGGTGGGGACCGAGGGAGGTCGTCTGGTACAGAACAAGAAGCACGTTGTATAGAGGTTTCGAGTTTTCTCTCTAGGCTCTGCTCCTTACCAGGTCCTTTTCTTCTTCGGTGACATGGAGGGGATAGTCCCACCTCACAGGCTCACGTGGGCTGATACAAGTAAAGCACTCAAGACGTGCTCAATAAATAGTAATTGCTGCTCTTAGTATTAACTTCCAGAAGTTATTTTGCCACATAAACAAGGTTTATACTTGAGCTAATGCCTTCTTAGAAAACTCAGTAGGGGGGCGCCTGGGTGGCTCAGTTGGTGAAGCGTCTGCCTTTGGCTCAGGTCATGATCCCAGGGTCCTGGGATCGAGTCCCGCATCGGGCTCCCTGCTCTGCGGGGAGCCTGCTTCTCCCTCTCCATCCACCTCTCCCCCTGCTTGTGCTCTCTCTTTCACTGTTTCTCTCAAATAAATAAAATCTTTAAAAAAAGAAACAAAAACGGGTGTTTTCATGTGCACATAGCAATGATACCTCTGTTTCTAGAGGTGACTGTAACTGCCTGCCTGGCTCTCTTTATTAGTTAAGGTAAGAATCTGTGTCCAGAAGGTCTGTCCTTCAGCAAAATAATTGAAGTTCCTACCGTGGAAAGCCAGGCCATGCTAGTCAGCGTTTTCTCTTCCCTGTTTTATCAGTTGTAAGTGTTCAGAGTTGACTGTTGAGAACACACATGTCCTTAACAAGTAAAACTTCTAGTAGATTCATCCTTTAGAATGTTTACAGGCACACCTCAGAGATACTGTGGCTTCGGTTCCAGACCACTGCAATAAAGTAAATGTCACAATAAAGCGCGTCCAGTGAGTGTTGTGGTTTCCCGAAGAAGTATAATTGTATGTTTACACCCTGCTGCTGGGTGCTGAGCGTGCGATAGTATGACGTTTGAGAAAAGTACACACCTTCACTAAAAAAATGCTTCATCGCAAAAAAATGCTAACTGTCCCCTGAGCTTTTGGTGAGTTGCAGTTAGCGATCACAGATCACCATCACAAGCGCACTAATTGAAAATGTTTGAAATATTACAATAGTCCAAATGTGACGCCAAGACACGAACTGAGCGAATGCTGTTGGGACAATGGCGCCAACAGACTTGCTTGACGCAGAGTTGCCACAAACCTTCAGTTTGTAAAAAAAATGCAATTATCAGTGGCGCTTCGAAGGGTTTCTGCCAGAGTGAGCCTGTCGTTGATTATTTACTAACACTTATCAGTCGTTCGGGGATTATTTATTGACATGTCTCTGCCCTCTCCCTGACTTCCTGCAACGGGAGGATCGGGAGCCCTGACTCATCCATCTCTTGTCTTTGGTTAACAGACTGCCTGACAGGTAGAGAGATGCTCAGTAGATATTGATGCGTGAACACGCCACGTGCTGGATATTCTCTTTTTACACCTCCAGCTTCATTCTGCGCCCTTGCCACCCTGCTCTGGTCTCCGAGAGGCTGATCTGCAGACTCCAGCCCTGGGTCCACGGGGCCTCTGGCTTCTGGTTGGGGCTGGTTGGTGGCAGGAGACCACGGGGGAGAAGCGAGGGTATCTGTTCCGCTGGCTCCCCACCGGTGGGATGCCGTGCGTAGACGGTATGTCTAGACAGCCTGCTGTCCATGGCTCTGGCCTTCCAGCCTGTAACCTCTTCCTCCCCCCATCCTTTTAGGCCAAGGAGGGGGCAACGTTTAGCGCCCAGTCCCTGCACCACGGCCGACAGCTTCTCTGTACCCAGCTCTGACCTCTGCTGTCACTTTCTTTGTCACTTAACCCTCCACAGATTATCCCGATTGGAGCATACCTTCTCCTTCTTGTCGGGAAACAGCGAGCCCCCATCGCTGACGGAGGTTCTAAGTTATTCAGGCTGTACACGGTGGCTCCAGGTGCTTAAAAAAGTGCACAGCGCAGTTCCTCCGAGAGTGGGCGGCGTGGCTAGTGGCCATAAGGGCCGTTGATGTGTGCAAGCTTTGAGGAAATAAACAGCAGTTTGGGATACTATTCTCTCCTTAGGGCAGACTTTCTCCTCCTGACTGTGAGATCTTATTTCAGAGCGACTGTCTGTTTTCGAGTCTCTGAAATTACCGCTTACCGTGGTTGTGTGTCTGAGTCAGCATGGGCTGTGCTGGGAGGACCTAGGGCCAGGTGCGGCAGAGGGGGGTGCGCATGTTGGGCACTAGCTGCACCAGCCCAAGACTTCGTAAGGCACTCCGTCCGTGTCAGATCCAGTGTTTACCTCCTGTTCTTCTGGCTCTTTCCTGCAGGTGATTATAAACAGCACCATCACACCCAATATGACCTTCACCAAGACGTCGCAAAAGTTCGGGCAGTGGGCTGACAGCAGAGCCAACACGGTGTTTGGCCTGGGGTTCTCCTCGGAGCAGCAGCTGACAAAGGTAACGTGGTCCCTGGATGCCGGGGGTCTGAGCGGCGCCGCTGCCGAGCAGGATTCCTCTCCAGTCTTTGATTTTAGCCCTTCCGGCGCCACAGGGCTGCCTGACCAGATGACCTTTTAGAGACCCGAGGTCCATCGAAGTGGAGGCGTCTTTGGGGAAGGAAAGCTCACGTGACACATGTTCCTGCAGAGCCCGAGGTCGCAGCCCCAGCAAACCGCTCTGCCGGTGGTTCCTTTCCCACGTGGGGCCCCCCTGATCCCTGTGCCCCGCGTGTGCCCGGTAGCAGAGGGAGGTGCTGCTGAATGCTTACAGCAAGCAGCTCCCGCCCTGGAGTCCCTGCACCCCTTACGACGTCACACAGTGTTTGGAGTGTGGGTCGCTTTTTTTTTCTGGGGAAAGGATTCATAGCTTTGATTCGATTCTCTGAGTGGCTTGGGACACACTCTGTGGACCGTCAGAAAGGTGTTGAGGAGCGGATCATGACCAACGCGGGCTTGGAGAACCCCAAGGTCTGCAGGAACAGACCGAGCGCCTCTGACTGGCGGGGCCAGGGCTTGTCTGAGCGAGTGGGTTTCCTTGTAGGCTGCTGGAAGAGCCTGTGCGGGTGTGGACAAGGCATTGCTTGAAAGCAAGATTGGCTGCTTTCCAGGACCTGGGAACTTACGGGAAGGATGTCAGAGGGTCTCAGAGAATCCGAGGGAGAGTGGGAAGAGAAGGGCTGGAGCCGGGCTGCCTTCAGGAAGCTCGGTTTCAGGACTTGTTTCTCTCTAGACGGTTGCCGTGAACATATTTACTGAACTCTGGCTGGGCCAACACGGTGCTAGGTGCTGAGGATGCAGACTGTAGTCCGTCCCCTGAGGCGTTTACAAAATTCCAGATTCCAGGGGACTTGAGTGGGTCACTTAGTATGGACCTGGCTGCTTGGGTTCCCTGTGTATACTGAAGACAGCTTTCAGAGAAGGGGGATGAAGACAAGTCAGGAAGCCACTGTGCAGGGGCCCTCAGATTTGCACCTCGCATCTGTCCAGCACGTAAGCATGTGCTGTGTGCACACACGCATGTACACACTTATGCACACACGCACATTTCTAAGGAGGCCCCAGCCCACAGATGCAGCCATCCTACCTCCAGCCAGAAATGAGCCCCTGATGGAGGACACCCCACAGACGGTCCTCTTCTGCATCTCCACGTACTTCCATGGGGATGCCACTCCCTAAGGAGCCCCAGAGACTCAAAATGGCCTGGTGGCACTCTGAGCATCCCTCTCGTGCCCACCTGCTCACAGAAGCATTCTTTTCCTAGGTACCAAAACCTCCCCTCCAGGGGCACCTGGGTGGCTCAGTCGGTTAAGCGTCTGTCTTCGGCTCAGGTCATGATCCTGGGGTCCTGGGATCGAGCCCCGAGTCCAGCTCGCTGCTCAGCAGGGAGTCTGCTTCTCCCTCTGCCGCTCCCCCTGCTCGTGCTCTCTCACCGTCTCTCAAATACATACAATCTTTAAAAACTAATAATAAATAAAACCTCTGCTCCAGTTCACCAGGGCCCTGACACACAGGGAAGGAAGCAAAATTCTCGAGTCTAGGTCATTGGGTATGATTGTGAGTATAATTCCCCTCCGAGGAGAAGCACCATGTCCCACGACGCTGGAAAGCGTGTGTCCCAGCAGACGACCCCGCAGAGTTCTCTGAGGTGGGAGGGCCAAGAATTCTTGGCTTCATTTCGTTTGCGGAGAAATGAGTTTGCTGGTTTGAGGCAGTGCTGTGTGGTATAGACGACCTTAAGCAGGTCTCAGAGCAGCGGGGCCTGCGTAGCCTTGACAGACCGTAGTGTCTGTCACGTGAGGATGAGTCACTGTTTGCTCTGCATGAGGGGGCCCAATGCAGTCAGCTTTTCACCAAGCAGCTGGCTGGCTGGTCACTTAGGGGTGCGATGCAGAACGGGGGCCTCAAGCTGGATCACTGTGGTTGACAGTGGGCCCTCCGCAGGTCAGAGGTTGGGGTGGCCTGGAGAGCAGGCGTGGTCAAGGCCACATGGGCCCCCAGGCCCTAGGCTGCCTGCAGGAGGAGAATGACTGGGTGTCCACAGATCGGCCCTTCCTGCCCCCTGGTTTTAAGGAGTCCCTTTGGTGTGGAGGTGGGGAGTTCAGGGGAGCATTGTCTTAGTCCGTTCGGGCTATGGTTTTTGTTTTGTTTTTGTTTTCTTTTTTAAGATTTTATTTATTTGACAGAGAGAGTGAGAGCAGGAACACAAGCAGGGGGAGTGGGAGAGGGAGAAGCAGGCTTCCCGCGGAGCAGGGAGCCCGATGCGGGGCTCGATCCCAGGACGCCGGGACCATGACCTGAGCCGAAGGCAGACGCTTAACGACTGAGCCACCCAGGCGCCCCGTTCGGGCTGTTATAACAAAACGCCACACACCGAATAGCTTATACACGACAGGAGCTGGTTTCTCAGGGCTCTGGGGGCTGGAAGGCTGAGATGAGGGTGTCAGCACCGTCAGCTGCCGGGGGGGTCCACAACTTCTCACAGTGCCCTCACGTGCTGGAAAGAGAGCAAGTGAGCTCTATGGGGTCTCTTATAAGGGTGCCAATCCCATTGATGAGGGCTCCCCCCCTCGTGACCTCATCCCCTCTCAGCGGCTCCACCTCCTAATCCATCACATTGGGGCTTAGGATTTCAACATGAGAATTTGAAGGGGACACAGACTTTCAGCCAGTTGCAAGCATTCGCGTGGAATGTGGGTATTTTCAGACTCCAATTCCATTGGGCCCCCGGGCTCCACCGATGTCCCTATTCCCAAATCTGTTTGTCACTCACCTTCCGGCTTGCTTTCTTCCCAGTCCCTGCCCAGGCACCGAGGCCCCTGGCCATTTCCTCAGGGTTCAGTGCAGATCCTGACCCCAGGCCACCTGCCTCGAGCACGCTGGACAAGGAGCCAGTCCAAGTCATGCCCCCAGAGGAGGATTTCCCTTCTCCATCATCCTCCACATAACAGCAGCAGCATGAGCAAAGTCATGACACCCCAGGAGGGCGGCTGTGAACAGGGCGTATGGGTTTTGGGGTGGGCAAGGCTGTGGCCAGAGGCCAGCTCTGGACTTGAGACTGTGGCCTGTGAAGGATTTCAAGCCAAGAAGGAAAATGATCAGATTGATCAGCTTGGCATCGTACGTAGATTTTCCTGGCAGACCAGGTTGTTCTGGTGCAGATCACGGATGACGAGGGCCTGAGTAGGAGCTGGAGAGACTTGGGAACTACCGAAGAGCTGAACTGGTGGGACTTGGTGAGTGGACGGTGGGTGGCAGGGGCTCTGAGATGAGAGGACAAACTGACGGATGGATGGATGGAGCTGCCATTTTCTGAAACGAGGAAGAGCAAGGGTTGTGAGAATCAGAGAATTTATGTGACGTGGAAGCAAGTATGATGGTGATTTGTTGAACAGCTGGGCCGGCACCCCTGCCCGAAGTGGGCAGCAGGGATTGGGTGCCTTCTCCCTCTGAAGGAGTGCCTGGCGGGGACAGGGGTGGGGGGACCCCCTCCCCCACTGGCTGGTGGCCTCACAGCTCTGGGAAAGCCCATGGAGACGCAGAGGCTCCCGTGGGAGGCAGGGCCCCAGCGGGCTGTGAGGTTGCGTGCCCGACCCCGCCCGAGGCTCCAGGCCTTCCAGAAGCCCAGACAGTCTGACAGAATCACTCTCCGCTGCCTGGAAGAACTTCTTCAATCTTTGGAGGAATCAGAAGAGCTAGGAGACATAAACGGGGAACATTTTTAGTGAAAAGAATCGAAAGCAGGGAGAACTCAAAACAAAAATCAGAACAAATTGTTAAAGTTCACTTCCTTGTGCCCCTGAGAACCGGGGAGACCTCAGGCCATGCCTGCCTCCCCAAGCGGCCACTCCTCATTTTTCCCAGGCAGAGGAAAATGTGCTGTCATTAAGGAGGAGGGCCCTGTCCTCCCGAGCCACTCTGGCTTCTCTGGCAGTGCTGGAGTGTCCGTGCTGCGCCCCGTGACCTGCCATTGTCACCAAGGCATAGCCCATGTCTCCTTTGTTCAAGATGTTTCGAGTCAGCTTCTTCCCCCTCTGTGAAGGGAACGATTAGCCTCACACCGGTAAATTACCATCAAGTGAGGCTGGCAGTCTTGACACGTGGCAGTTAGCTGGCAGAGAGGAACTCGGGCCTGAGGGCCCCCAAGGCGTGTGGCTGAGGGGACAGCTGTGGCTGCCTATTCCTGACAAAACAGAGCAGCCACCCACGTCCTGAAGGAGGGTCGGTAATCACACCCTGTAACGAGGCTAGATGAAGGAACGCCGCCGGTGTGGCTACTTCCATTTAAGCACACTTTATACACACATCTCTCTCTACCGCCCCCTCGAAGGAAAATAGATACCCTGGTCTTCGCTGCTCCCACCCTACGGACCCCTTCACACCACAGTCCCCAGAAGTGTGACAGGGACACTTTCTGCTCTTGAGACAGGCTCTCCAAAAATAACAGCTACTGCACATTCCCAGAGGTAAACCGGGGCTCGTCTGTCCACCCGCCAGATGGGACATTGTACCTCGGCCTCCTGAAGACCGTTGGAAGGGGCTTGCACATGCTGTTGAAAGGAAGAGCTGCTGAATGGAGACAAAAGGAAGGAGATCCACATGTAGGAGTGAACTGGTGCTTAAAGTGAAGGTGCTTTCTGGCAGCTGACCTTGAGACGTCATTGTCCTGAGTTTGGTTCCAGGTCACCTATCACAGACAGAAGGAAGCACATCCTGCCACAAAGGAGGTGATCCAGGATGGGGTTGCTAGTGTTCTGTGATTGACACACACACACACACACACACACACACACACACACACACGGCGTTTACTGTTGACCCATTTTAATGATTTCATCTGTAATTCAAATTTGTATGGTCAGGTTCACCTCATCAAGTTCGTGTAGCTGGAAGAACATTGCTCTGTCTTCTCCCTTTCTGATTTAAGGGTCGTTGTTTTAAAGTGGGGGATATTAATCATTC